GTACTTTTAAATTTCATGGTTACTATTGCAAGTCTGATGTCATTTTGCCTTTCACACATGACTTTTCCTTCTTTGGAAGTTTTATGGGTCTTCTCTGTATTCTAAGCATTTCGAAAAAATCATGATTATGTACTCATGTATAGGTGATTTTTAGTTTATCCTATTGTTCCTTAAGTTTAGAAATTCCTTTGTTTCTAGAAAATTTCTTGTAATGTTTTATGGATAATTTCCTATTTTACTTTCTCCATTCTCTTTTTGAGATTTTTCTTAGAAGCAAGTTCATTTCTGGACAGATCTTCCTAGTTCCTTTATATTTTCTCTTTATCTACTTTTGGGAAATTTCTTCAATTTTCTCTTTGAAACCTTTATGTCAAATTTTAATGTTCCTGCTAGTGCATTTCCAAATTCTTTTTGGTTCCTAAATGTTCCTTCTTGGGCCTTTTGGTATTGTTTCATGGATTTATTACCTTTTCTTTGAGGCTATTACAATGGTAGGTTATTTTGGATACAAAAGCAATCTGTTTGCAATATCTATTACCCGTATGATCATGAGAGTTGATTGGACTGACTGGGCTCGGTAGGTGGGTGCTCACCTCACTCTCATGTGCATTGGAAATAGAAACAGCTATGATCTTCCGCCATGGTAAAGAAGTAATCTGACCTTGGCTTTCTGTTTTTTTTTTTCCCCCCAAATCATACAGCATCTGAATAGGAAGGACAGGGATTCCTGGACATCTCACTATAGTCCTCACTGGTATACCTTCAGGACCTCTTTAGGTAGTTTTCTCTGTGAGGGCAGAGCCAGCTGACCTACTCTCTGTATTATAGAGGGAATTGAGGGAAATAAGTTTGGGCAAAGGGAGAAGTTGGGCCATAGTGGCAGTTACAGCAAGAAATTCAAAGTGAATAAATCCTTCAAGTCTCTTGTCTTTTACCAGACTGAAGAGGGGTAGTTGACTTGTGTGATATTCCAACTCAGTGCCCTGTCTCTGAAGACTAAACTGAGTTTCCTTGGAGATCAGAAATTCAGATCAGAATTCATGCCTGAATTCTTGCCTGGCACTGTTTCACTGTCACACCCTTAGGTAATTTTTTTCATCACTTAAGCCTCAAATCATCCTGACATTTCACCTTTTGTCTATCAGAAATAGTGTGGCAAGAGCAGACTGGGGAAGAGGATGCTAGTGCATGGTTCCGTTGGATTGCTTGAAGGCTTCCCCAGGAGTTGTAACTAAGAGCCATTTAGTGAAGAAACTGGGCTTCAGCAAGTAAAAGGCGGACAAAGATGTAGACGTACAATTTTACAAATAGTAAATGCTAGTATCATATTAACAAGAAAGTGATTGCCAAGGGCAAATCCAAGAGGACCCATGGTGGGAAAGGGCAGCTGCCATACTCCCAGCGTCTGGGGATGTATGCCTTGGCCTGAGAGCCATCGGGGTGACCCAACACAGCATTTTCTCCCATGCACTACTCAGCCACATCTAATGTTTTGTTCCTCCAGGGTTCTAGTGGACTTCTAGAGAAAACTTGTGTGATCACTACTGGGGTCAACTATGGCCTCTGTACTTCTATGTACTTCTATGCATCTGTGTATGAATGCATCTATATGTCATGCATTCATACATATTTATGACCTCCTTTCTCTAGAGTCTCTTCTAGATCTCCTTTGACTTGCATCCTTCAGGGGGGTGAGTCCCCGACTATGCTGTGCTCTGGCCATGACTGGTGAATGTTTCTCTTTTCTCCCTAGTGAGCAAGTATGCATAAAAGATGACCAGATGTCAGCCTCTACACCAGACATACCCTCTAAGTAGAGTCAGCAGTAACCCAAAGTTCAGTGTGATTCTTGCTGTGTCTCTTAGCGAACCAGGACTTCTATACCAAAAGGACCAACACTTGCAAGAACAGGAAACACAGATTCCCCAAGTCAGTTGCTGCAAGTGATGGTTCGTTCATATATACTAGTTTCTAGATCCATGTATCACTCCTGTTAGGCATCCAGCCCCATATAGTGATCCTTGTCTTAGAGCATGTGCTTTACTTGGAGGATGGTGTCCCATCATAACCACGTGTCATCTCTAGGCAGATGCCTCAGCTGTGCCTTTAGCCAGCCAGTCATTGCTCTTTCTAGCTGGCAGCTTTTGGATTTGTGTGTGTGATTGGACTGGTGAGTCCATGGTTATATGAATCATGCCACACATCTTGCTGTGAAGTGGGTCTGATAAGAGGTTTTCTGGGATCCTGTGTTAGTGAATTAAATACTGTAAACCCTCAGGTAGTAGTGGTGGTTTACAGGAAACCAGTATCCAGATAATATTTATTCCTGTTGACATAAATTGGTTATTTGTTTCAAGATGGAATGGGTCCTCTGTAGCTGGCTTACACCCTGTGGCTGGTTGCTCTCTTTGAGGCTTGGTTGGTCATTGTTGCATTGAGGGCTCTGCTTTGGTGCTGTCATTTGGCCACAGTAGTAGCTAGGTCAGCCTTGAGGAGCACGAGCCCAGTTTGTCATCCTTTTTTTTTTTTTTTTTACTTATGAGTGAGAATGAACATCTTTTCATATAATTTAGGGCCAGAGGCAGTTCCTTCGTGAATTGTCAATTCATATTTCTATAGGATCTTACTAGAGAAAGACAAAGCTATTTGTAAGGATTATTTTTCCAATATTTAATTTTTTTCTTTGCTCATGTGTTTTCTTTTGCCATGTAATTTTTTTTTTTTTAATGTGAGTAGATGTATCACTCTCTTAAAGAAATCGTTCCTGGGCCCTCCGTGGTGGTGCAGTGGATTAAAACACAGCACTAAACTAGTTTCCCAAAGAGGCTATGTGACAGAAATCTGTGATCTGTGAAACCGTCTAGAAATCTATTTTTTTTTTCTCTTGCAAATTGATCAGTGGTTTAGACTTAAAATTCCTGATTGGAAATAATATATCCTGAGAATTTTGAAGGCATTGTACTTTT